GAAACGAGCACAGGGACTTCACCAACACACAGAACTACATCAGACTCTGAGATGGATCCTCAGTTCTCATCCCCCTAAGGATGGAGATTTCTGTAACACTGCAAAGATAAATACAACTGGGAACTGTGTCATTAGAGGCGCTTTAAGCTCCCATATATAGCCTGGAAAGAGACTGTTGCTAAGAATAGTGGGGCCCAGATATTCCACAACATGAGAGTTGACAGATTTCTTCCCAGCACTAATAGGATGTGAGGCTATTTTAAATTTGCCCTGATAAGTAGTCAGGCCATTCTTGAAGAGTTGGTCCTAGAAAATAAACACAGATCAAGAGATGCTGGGCTGGGTCTGCTTCAATTAAACACAGGATAAACACAAGGAAGGCTCTTAGGAAGGGTCTCCTTTCCAAAAGCCCCAATGCAGTGATGATGGGGGCCAGCAAAATCAGCTGGCCTGCAGCATCCTGAGCCCTGAGGAATCAGGGTGTGAAACCAGAGTGGTGATGATGTGGTGGGGCTGCAGAGGCTGCCAGCCCTGCAAGCCCTTCCCTTCTCCTCCCTGCTGGAGGTACCAAGGGGTGCACCTGCAGTGCCAGACCATCCCCCAAAACCTCAGGAAAAGCCATGGAAATCTTTCATTGGCTGGGCTGGGAGATTGGATGAGGCTGCATTGATTTAGACTAAACAACCCCCATTTCATGGCAGTATCTGCAGTGGGTTTTGGCAGCATTATGGCAGAAATAAACTATTCCCTTGTGCTTTCTTGGAAGTGATGAACAGCAAACTGAGTAACCTCTTTAATGTGCAACAGCCAGTACATAAAATAACACACTCTTCATGGTCAGAGTCCAGTTTTAAATAGAAATTACACAATGGGTATGTTACATTGACAAGTATATAGTGGTTTCAACATTATTTTCTCAAAAATAAAAATACATCACATTGGAATATCGCATACAAAATGTAGAATTTGCCCTAAAATAAAATTCTATCAAATCACTTTAAAAATTACAAAAGTAAAATGCATACAAACTCCAGTAAAACTGAACAGTCTTACAAGTCGAGGATAGTTTACAAAGATGCTCTCCAACATGTAAAACCCTCTTCCTTCTCCATATGTTCATGCACTTCAAAAAACCCCAACTGTTAGGTGTGTCCCATAATTAAAAGCTGTTTTTGTGACCTTATCAAGTACTCATTTCTAAAATGCACAGTGGAAGACATTAAACATGATAGGGGGAAAAGATATGTTAATCTAGCAAATATCATAGGCAGAGAAAAGAGATATGTTTGGAAAATGCATCATTGTCCCACGGGAGCAGGAGCTGGTGTCAGTGGGGACACCTGCAGCTCTGCTGGGCTGGCTCAGCCCAGGTGGAGCAGAAAGGTGAGAGCAGAAAGAGGAGCTGTGGGCAGGGAGGGGCAGGGAACACAGCTCCAGTTTACATTGCACATTCAGGGAGTCCCTGCTGGAGAGGGACACAGAGCATCTCCTCCCCTGGCATGGGTGGGCACCCCAACCCTGGCAGCCCTTCCCCAAGCCCCCTGGCTTGTCCCACACAAACCTGCACATCCCCTATGAGAAGAAAAAAACATGAGCCTGGGCTTGTGGTGGCTTTGACAAACATGTGGACCAAGGCTGGAGAAGTGGCCTCAGCCTGAAGGGAAAATCTTCCCATAAAGAAAAGAGGTTTTGCTGCTGGTATTGTCTTCATGTAGCAATGCAGTGAGTGCAGTGAGTCTGTCCAGATGCAACAAGAGGATAAATCCCATGGAGGAAGCCACTGGGCAGAGAGACCTTGCAGAGAAAAGCTGTTAGTGCAGAGAGCAAGTCCCACCTGCCTTCCCTGCTGCACCTTGGAGAAGCAGCACCTCCACATTGTGTGCCACCGCCACAGCTGTCCCTGTGGCACAAATCCCATCACAAACAGAAAATGAAGGTCAAAAACTCATCCTTGAGGAAGGAAAAAATGAGGGTCTGGAACAAGTGGGCTGAAGGAGCCACCCCTCCTGTGCAAACAGCCCAGGTGCCCAACATCCCCTGTCCTGGGCATCCTGGCTCAGCCCTTGCCTTCCCTCTGTGCTGCAGCCCCTGCCTCCACCAGGGCCTGGAGATTCCCACGGTGCTGCTGGGCCTGAGCACTGAAGAAACAGTGCTGGGGCTGTGGGGGGCATGAATTGATCCAAAAACATTGCAATCCCAAGCAATTGGCAGCAGCCAGCACATCTGTGCAAATATTTGCTTTTGCTTGTCAAAACTTTGGACAGAGTTACATTTCTTCCTTTATTTATTAGTCTCATCTGTCTTGAAACACAAACTACAAAAATTGTGAGCAGATTGACATCTTCTTCTGACTGCACTGTGGCTGTGCCTGCTCTGGGGCAGCTCTGTGCCAGCTGCAGTGACACTCCTGGAGGAAGGAAGGCAGATTTCCTGTGCCACCCACAACCCACCTGGCAGCAGTCACGGCTGCAGGGATGTGGGATGGAATCTGTGTGGATGGGGATGATCCCCTCAGGTGAAGCAGGGAGCCTGGAGCTGCCTGGCTGTCTCTGATGGAAAGGAGCAGCAGCCACAAGGCAGCATTTCCCCCTTCTCCCCCCACAGCTGGAATGCCGGGACCCACGGAAGGTGACAAAGTCCTTGTGTGTTTTGGCAGGGTTTGGCTCTGCCCTTCACAACTGTGCATCCACACACACAGAGCTCCTTGCACACCCCACATCCCTGCTCTTCCCATGTGGTGCTTTAACAACCCAGAGAATGGCAGCCCCAACATCAAACACCAAATCAATACCCAGAACTGGTGTCGTACACAGTGTAGCACTTGTCTTGCCAAGTTATTACAATGGTCTGTACTTAGTATAAAAGGAACCTCCTCAAAACAAATGAAACATAAAAATGCCTTTGTCAGAGATACTTACTTAATTTGCAAGTGACCCAACAAAAGAAATGAACAATTAGAGCCCTGCTGTCACACCATTACAGAGCAGTAATATCCACTGTGCAAACTGTGTAATTCCCATTCATATTTCAGTCACTCCTGACAATTAAATCACATTTCCCTTTCTTGTAAGAGCCAATACATGCACATCAATCAGGGCTGCTTGTTTATGCTGCAGTGCAAGGCCATGCAGTCACTTGCTCAGCTTACTGTAGAACAAACCCAGCATTAACATCCCTGACACACAAAATTTCAAATTGCGCATGGACTTCATCAGTCCAGTGCAATATTTTGGTGCTGAAATGCCCCCTGGAACTGGGCACTTCTTGTTACTCAATCCAACCTGTTGCTTTCCCCAAGTTACTACAACAAACACTGACAGAGTCTGGGGTCTCCCAACCCACTCCAACATTCAAGACATCTCACTCCCACTCCTCTCAGCTCTGTCAGATGGTTGGGAATAACTGAGATGTTGTGAGCCTGAATACCTGACACAGACACACTGCCCATCTGCTTGGCCTCTCCAGGTGTGGGAGCTAAAATCACAGGTTTCAGGTAAATTACAGGCTGCTTCTAACAGATTATCTGTTCATGATGTGTGCAGAATCCTTTGGGTCTGCACTTTATTCCAACTGGCACGATTTTCTAAAAAAAAAAAAAAATTGCCTATTTTTTTGTACATGAAGTACATAGCCAGCCAAGCTCCTTTCCCTGTAAAATTGCTCTGGAAGCAAGGAAGCTCCTCCCCACACCTCCAGCTCAGGGGAGCAGGCACCCCAAGGGAGGGCAGAGGGAGTTAATGGGTAACAGCAGTGACCAGAGCCAGGAACCAGTGCTGCTGCATTTTGTAATCCTGAGCTCCCCATGAGCAGCATGGGAGCTTGCACAGCTCCAGAGCTCAGGAGAAGGAGAGGCAGCAGCACTGGAAGCTGAACCAGGAGTGTCCCTGAGCCAAACAAATGTTTACAATAACCATTAGGAGAGAGTGGTCACCATGGAGCAACCTCCCAGCATTCCCAACATGAACCACAACACCATTACCTGTGTTCTTCGGGGCTCTGAACTCACAGGCCACAAAGAGAGGAATATTCCAGGGCTCCTCAGGGCACCTTCCTCTGCTGGCAAGTCACAGGCCACACAGCAGCCAATGCTGTGGCTGGTTCAGGTTAGAGAGACTTCAAACTTTGATTATGAAGAAAAGCATGAACTGTTTTGAGCCTATTCTGCACTCCTGCTCATTGCATCTGCACTGCTAAGGGCTCTCCCTGTGCTTCAAACTCAAACTTCCAAAGAAGTGCAGGGAGCCTGGCAGCTTGGACTCCTGCTAAATCCAAACAAGGGTGACCATGCAGCAATGCTTATCCAAAAAATATTTCTGTGGGTTGTGTTACTGACATGAAAGGGCCTGCTCCTCCACAGAAGGATGCTGCTGTGGAGCACAGATGGGGATAAAGTGTTTTTCAGAGATCTCAGCAAGCACATTTAAAATCCTCACTTCCATCCTAAAGCAGACTTGCTAATCTAATAAAATCCTAAATTTAACCCTGTGTGTGTGGAATGCAGCCATGTCCTGCACAACTTCAAGTAACTTGGGAGCAATCCTTTGACTTTCACATGGGCAGATTTCCATCAGAGTTGCTGGGAACTCGGGCTGAGCCCTGACTGCAGAGTGCCTGTGAAGCCCAAGCAGGTTTCCCACCCTGCAGAGGTGCTGGTGGCTGTGACTCAGCCCAAGCTGCAGTGCCAGGGCAGGGGCTCAGCGTGGCAGGGCTCTGGCAGCGAGGGGCTGCAGGGCTGGTGTCTGTGAGGAGCAGTGGGAGCTCCCCATGAGGGACAGAGCCAGCCCAGCCAGGGTACAAATGCAGCTCTGGCCAAGGCTGAACCCACCAGCCATGGTGATAACACCTCTGGGATAAGAGATTGGGAAGGGAAAGGAAGTGACTGTACATCTGGAGAGAGGAGCAGCTCTGCAGGTACCCAGGGCAGGGCAGAGAGAGGGGCCGGAGCTGCTCAGGCACTGGAGCAGAGATTCCCCTGCAGCCTGTGATGGAGACCATGGTGAGGCAGCTGTGGCCCATGGGGAGCAGAGATTCCCCTGCAGCCTGTGGAGAACCCCGTGCCCCACAGCTGGATGCCCAAAGGAGGCTGTGGGAAACCTGCTGGAGCAGACTCCTGGCAGGATGGAGAGTGGAGCCCAGGCTGGAGCAGGTTTGCTGGCAGGATTGTTCCCAAAGGTCCCTGCCCACAATGGAGAAATTTGTGGAGGATTGTCTCCCCCCATGCTGGAGCAGGGGAAGGATGTGAGGAGTCCTCAGGGGATGTGTGATGGTCTGACCACAGCCCCCATTCCCTGTCCCCCTGTGCTGCTGAGGGGAAGGGGGAGAGAAAACCACAAGTAAAGTTAAGCCTGGAAAGAAGGGAGGGATGGGGGAAGGTGTTTTCAAGATCAGGTTTTATTTCTCTTTATCCTACTGCGATATGATTGCTAGTAAACTAAACTGGTTTCCCCAGGTTGAGTCTGCCTTGCCCATGATGGTCACTGGTGAGTGTTCTTACCTCAACTCATGAGCTTTCCATTGTATTTTCTCTCCCCTGCCCAGCTGGGGAGGGCAATGACAGAGTGGCTTTGCTGGGCACGTGGTGTCCTCCCACAGTCAACTCACCACACAGAGCAACAGCTACCAAAGCATCAGAGCCACAGTGAGCCATTCACTCTGACTCAGAAAAACAATCAACAGGGTTTAAAACAAGAGGTTCACTTGTCCCCCTGACTACAGAGAGCCTGCATCTGGAAGCACTGACAAATATTTTAAATTGTCTGATGCCTTCTGGAACAGAGGAAGAATAGGTTATAGTCTAAGCATTGTGTAAAATGCTTCTTCATCTTAAAACAGTCAGGACAGTGAAAGGGTTAGAAATCTCTGTCACTCAGGACAGCAATTTTAATCTTTATATAGCTACAGTACATTGCAGAAACAGAGCTCTGGAGAGCCATCCCAGCTTGCAGTTCTGCCATGACAATGCAACTCCAGACTCTTGGCAAACGATCCCTGGTTTCAGAGACAATAGGTAGCAGCAGCTACTGGATACTGAAACTAATCCAGGCACTAAAACATAGTAAAAAGAAGCTGGACAGTTAACACCACTCATCTGAAAAGTAAGGGATGATGCCAGTGGATCTGAATGTGCTGGTTGGACTGATTTCATTTTCCCTATGCAGGTTAGCTCCACTACCACAAAGAACCTGCTTCAAGACAGGAAAGACTATTCAGAACTGATACAAGCAATGAGCTAAATCCATTTTCAGTTACTACAGTAAGGACATCAATTGCTCTGAAAACATAAAAGCAGGGAACAGCTTGTTTTATTTTACTGCACAGATACACTCCTGAGTTAAGTCTTAGAGGTGTATTCTCTCTACAAAAGGAGAGCAGGCAGAAGGAACAGATCCATGTCTGAAAGGTAGTTCTGGGTTTATTTGGGTGAGCTTACCGTGTTGGTGTTGCCCCAGGGGCAAAGAAGAGCCCCATACAGGAGCAGAGGGTGCTTGATTCAACTTCTGGAGATGCAGAGCCTCCTCCAACACGTGCACCCACCCCCTGCCACAGAACTGCCAGGACAGGAAATCATTCCCTGAAAAGAATCCCTGTCGCAGGCCGTGCACAACGCTTCCCACTCACGGCAGTGACTGGCTTGGGTACAAACAAGGGCACATCACCTTCCCCAGGCAGGATCACCTGCAGTAAACCTAGGCAAACACATACCCTTGCACAACTTATATATATATATATATATATGTATCTCTTATATATATAAGTTTTATTTGTGTATACATTGATATAAATATGCACGCCCCCATACACACAAACACATCTCCGTAACACAAAGCACAGAACACACACACACACACACATACAGAAATATTTTAAATGATGCTGAACTGAAATCTAAGAATATAATTAAGAAATCATTAGCAGGTTTAAAAATTGAGTTAAAAAACTATTCAAAGTGTCTTTAATATTTATGTTCAAGTAAGGGCCAGAATGACCACAGATTAGTACTGATAAAAAGATCTGGCAATAATTTCCCATATGCCAGAACTCGTGAGTTACTCATTGTCAAACTCATTGTCATTTCGCCATCAATGCACCTCCTCGACTAGAAAGGTTTTTTTAGGAAACAGTGATTTCTCCAGACTTGGGTTACAAGCAATATTGTTTAGGCACCCTCAGTCATAAACTAATCCTAAAAACCACACACACCTTAGAGTATCAGGAGAGAGCTAGCAGGATTCAGACATCCACACCCACAGTATTCAGTGGCACAAACAGTAAAAAGGCAGTACTGGAGATGGAGGATGGAAAGGTGACACAGTGGTGGCCTTTAGAACAGCAACATTTACCTAGAGTGACACTCCAGTACACCACAGATGCTCCATATCAGGAACCAGGGTGGCATTTCAGAGATGACTGTGGGTGCACGTTGGGATTCAGTGGCAGCTAAAGCTATTGTTTACTTGTGCTCCAGGGTGGTAACATACACCTCTAATAAAACTGCAAGGATTATTTGGGGTATTTAGTATGGCTAAAAACCCTGGTACCAGTGTCTTATATCAGAACCCACTTTATTAGAATGTAAATGTAGTGTACAAGCACCGAATCATTTTAGCTTAAATGTTTAATGAGCATTCAAAATATAAATGACTAGTGATTTTAAAGAGATCTTGAAATGATTTTTGTTTTCTTTCTTATTTTTTTTCCTTTTGTTAAGATTATTCCCTATTTTCATTCTGATAGAAGACTCTGAAGATTACTGGTACCCTGGTGTGTATAACCGTGAGTCAGCACACAGGCACACACACACAACATACACCTCACTGCTACATCAACAGCCTCTCCAACAGAGAGCCCCAGCCCTGCACAGGGACCTGGACAGCAGAGAGATTCTCTTTGTGCATTTTGGTGTCTCCATCACCACTCCAGTTCCACATTTATGGCAAATCAAGATGGTCTTGAACATAAGAACAACCTATCCCTCACCCTCACTAAATAAAGCCACAATTAAGTCTTGAAATTTCTTTGTTTTTCTGCTGTTCAGCTGTGCAAATCCAGGCAGATGTGCAGACTGCAAAGCCGACTTCCAGTCTCTTCCAAGCCCTCACCAGTGCAGGGTGATCACACGGAGACGACGACGTCGAGATAGAGTCTGTCGTAGGACTCGCGGAAGCACAGGATGAGGAGCAGGCTGAGCAGACACGACCCTGGCAGGCACCAGTTGAACCAGGAGAACTCTGTAAAGCAGAACAGAGACCCAGCCTCAGTTATCAAACATGTTCTGGGTTTAAAGAGACCAAAACTTGGACTGATGGCAGGTTTGAAGGAAATCGCTGTGTGCTGACAAAATCCTGACAGCTCCCAATCGATGGATCCACGGTTAACTTGGTCTGTGAGCCTTCTCCATGGACACCTCAAGTTATAGATATTTATAGCCAATGCCTCCAGCTAATGGAAATCCTCCTTATTCAACCTCCCAATGAAGGGAACAGGGGAAAAAGAATAAAAATCTATCATTGCTAATAGAGAATTAACCACTTCCAAAGACTGTGCTCATTAGTCCCTTGATTTCTATGGATTGAGAACTAAAATTAAAAGCATAGATGAAACTGGGTTTGATTTTGAATCAAACCTGCTACATTGTATAAGAAGGGAAAACCAATTCCTCAGAAGAAACTTGTGCATAATGGAACCAATTCAATTTAAAAGTCATTGCAAAAATAGGCCCTTTCAGCTGTTTGACATAACGTACTGTCCTTAGAAGTCTGTGCTCTGTACTCAAGAAATCCTATCATCTGATATTTGACTAATAATTAGCAGTTTGAGTCACATTTTTTTCAAACAAATACAACAAATTCTTTTTTTCTACATGTGTCAATTTACTAACGAAACATTCATTTCACCGGATAGTGTTTTACTCATTTTTTTCAAATTTTCCATTATTATTATTACTATTATTATTTTTCTCTTATTATTATTTTACAGAATCTAAACTCTCCCTCCAGGAGAGTTAATCAAATCTGAGTTAATCAAAATCAAGGCTTCATCACTGCTACTTTCTTAAATCTGCAATTTATATTGATGAAAGAAAAAGCATGATTTATTTTAAACAAGGCAAAGGACAACAGTCAGAAAGCCTGAAAAATCAGTCTTCCAAAACCAGTAACTTCCAACAACATTCTCCCTGATCCCCCAAAAACCCTTATGGATATGTTTAGGCAGTATTATTATTAAAACCATAGTAAAAATTTCCTAGGCTTGGAGAAGACTTATGTGATGCCAGAAGTCAACAGGCAAATGCTTTGCTATTATTTTCCTTACAACATTCCTCCTTAATTTAATTAAACAGATTTTAACTCAAATATCCTAAAAGATGAAGTTTAATTTGGGAATACTTCATGTCTTTTTTGATCTAGAATTTGTGCCAGCCCTGGCAATGCAGGGAATGCATCAATCATGTGAAGCCAAAGGTAATTTTTCTTTTGTTTTTCCCTTGGAAATCCCTGCAGAAAGGCAAAGGAAACCTCATCCAGAGGCTGCAGCTTTGGGGCACAGCACTAGGGGCTGAGCTTCAGGAAGGTTTACATCCCCACTCTGCTAGGTGAACCAAAATCTTCAGTGCGCTGGAAAGCTTCCAGGGCTTGGGTCCTTCACAGCATTTGCAATATCAGTACAGGGAGAAAAAGAGAAATTGGAATGAAAACTACTGAAAGACTATTTGGCTAAAAGGAAAGACCAAGGGAACAAGATGAATTTGACTGAGTTCTGGTTTATCTGTAAGCTCCTTAAATGCCATTACAGGATGTATTTGAATCAAATGAAAGCAAATGATTAAGATCATTATCTACCCTCTAACGGATGTTTTTAATCAGAGGAGCCAATAGCACCCCTGGCACTGATCCCCCCCAGTGACCACACACTCTCTCATATTTTCTATCAAAGAATGGATTTTCCTAAGCACAAATTACTTTATTTTATTTCCTTTTGGAGAAATAGGGAAAATGTTTTAAGTGTATGGGTATACCAATTTCAGGTTTATCCTAACCTGCATTTACTGGTATCTTGTAGGGAAGGAAATATGAGAGATAAAAAATGGTCCCAAATACTCTATTTATGGGGGAATGAGTCCACTCTATTGTAATTTTTTCATCAGAAGTGAGACTCCATATCCCCTTCCTCATTTATTATGTAATGCCAAACACTGAAAAAATTCTCTGAACATTGTGTGTCATCTTTCCAGCTCAGGTACAGACATCAGAAACAATAGTATGTGTGAACAGAGTTCACGTCAATTAATATCAAAAGTATACATTAAAATGTAAAGACGAGCTCTCACACCACCCAAGGCTAGTCCAGATGGCATTCAGATTTTACAATGATACAGTTCAGCATCAGTATTAAAAAATTAAATAATTTCTCTCCATTTGTGTTCACAGACCACAATCTGGAACAAGGTTGTCATCCTGCTTGCAATTTCCTGGCAGAAAGACAAACCATGCTGAAAATTTGCCCCAGGTTGAAACCTTGATACTTTATAGCAGAATTCAATCTGAAATTTGTCACTCTCCTCTTAGTTATAAAATACAACATCTTAAGAAGTAATAATACATAAAAGCTTACATTTTCTAATGGTTTACAAATATTACACCATGAAGCAAATGTTTACCATAATGACAAAATACAAAGAAAAAAAATCTGTGTCTTTGAAAACCATTAATAAAGACCACTTCCCTTTGAAAGCAAGCTGGGTTCTTATTTTACAGCTTAGAGTAATAATATGTATTACAGTCTACTAAACAGCAAGTTTTAAGTTGTGATTATGAGTTAGGAGGAAGCAAATAATACTTGAGAGACGAGAAAGTCTGAATGAATTGACAAAAACCTGGAGTGAAATCCTGTTGAGCTGGAATAGGCCATGGGATTTCCCAAAGGAATGCCTGTTCTGTCTTTGGGCAGTGGGACCACATCCTCTGAACAAAGCTGGCTTTAAATTGCGCATTTCTGCTCTACCCAAGAGCATGAGGTTGGGTGAGCTTTACTGTGGTTCTCACCACCCACAGGTACAAACATTATTAATGGTCACATTACCCAGGCCTTTATACGATTTGATGACAGTGTGCACTTGGTGGTTTCTGGCTACAGCAGATTCAAGTAGAATTATCCTGCATCTAAGAAATTTCATTTTTGTAAGCATGCATATAGAAAAGAATGATTAAAATTCTCCTTCCTTGCTGCCCTTGCTTGGATTCAAACATTAGGTTATTAACAGAAATTGTACATGCAAATCCTTCCTTTTACTGACAAAGGTATATCCTTAAGGAGTATTAAATTTTTCAAGTGGCTTATATTTCTTACCTGTATGGTAGAATGTGAGGAAAAACAAAAGCACTCCCATGAACACATTACTCAAAAAGGTGACAACTCCACAGCTTATTCCTTCTGGAACAGGGTAGACTGTCTCCACAAAGAGCTCAAAGAATATTGGTACGCTGCTGTTGAGGAATATGCCCAGCAAAATGCAGGATGTGTACAGTGTAGCTATGACAGAAACAAAACCAGTTATTAATTTCATGCTGGTGTGTTCCCCTCCTATTCAGAGCTGCCAAGAATACTAATATTTGAATACCCAAAAAATGTATAATCTTATTTTTACCCTCTGTGTATCAAAAAGAACATCACATCCCACAAGCCTTAGGAAGAATGCATGCATTGATTTGTGGAAAAAAAATCAGAAATAGTGATTGATTTATTTATCTATTTATTCAAACAGAATCCATGAAGATACATTCAGTGATTTGGACTTCACTTGTAAGTAAAACAAACAACAAAATTATGAATGCAAAGCATCACCTACAGTTTAATTTACCTCTGAAACAAACAGAAAATATTGTCCTACACACAATTAGGACAGGGAGCAATTAATGCACCAAATTGGAAATGGACATGGATTAACCTTTTGACTTAGCTCTAAAGGTCAAAACTAATTTTGCTTCCATTTTACAAATAAATACTAATGATCTACCAGCTATCAAGACATTAGTATTCAGCACAGCCTGAGCTGCAACATGTTGAATCCCTTCTGGCTTCAAAAGGAAATGAAGGGCACCCAGCTCCTGACAGGAACGGGACACATTTGATAATGCAGATCATTTGCTGCTGTACAGCAAATTGTTTTTCTTGGAAAAACCAACAGAAAAATGTGACATTTCTTCAGCAACCTCAGCTATTTTGTTCTACAGTTTCTGCCAAATACTTCACAGTACTTAATACAAAAGCTTAATATACTTATATTATCCTTTAATAAACTTATTATAGCTATTTCTAGACTAAAAAAAAACCAAAACCAAAAAAACAAACCACAAAACTTCACAAAAATTTAGTATCTACTTAGAAATATACGTAAGTTTTTTCTTAGTGCTGTCTTGGACACAGGAGATTTCCTGACTTGCAACCTCAATAACCTGAGGTTACTGTCCAAGTAAAAAGAAAAAGGAAATTATCAGAAGGCTTTAAGTAACCAGAAAACTCTGGAATAATTTCTGAGGCTCCCACCAAAATACTAAGAAACCCTAAAGAAAAGTATTTCAAAAACAAAAGTGTTATGAAGTCAGAGGTGAATTATTTATAATGTCTTCACTGCAGTGAAAAGATTCTATGGTACAAAATCCTTAGAATTTTTTTTTTCATATAAATATATTTGTGTGCAGATATTTCAGTTTAATTTACACACTTTTGTCTTAGAAAGGGGAGAACAGAAACAGCTCTACTTCATCTTTTGTTAAGCACTGCTCAAGCTTTCAACTGAGAAACTGTTAGGAAGCACAAAATGTTCAGCTTAAAAAAAATTAAAAAACAGCTTTATAAAATATAAAAAATCATGGAAAAGAAATAAAGAGATTAAGAAGCAGAAAGGGCTATTTATTACATCCTCTATTTCATGTGGTTTGCTTCCAAGGGACAAGGACATTTCTTTTTCAACAGAGGACTTGTTGAGACAGGAAAAAGGAGGGAGAGGTGGCCCCACTTTGAATATACCACAGTACTCTGAGCTGTAAGAAAAACAAACAAACACATGCAAAACCAAACAAAACCAACCCCCTCAAAAAAACCATGGTAGCTTTTCCTACTCTTGAATTCTCCTGTCACAAACTGCAGAATAAATCAAAGAAATTGATGTAAGATATGTCCAGGAGACAGAGAGGAAAGAAAAAAACCCATACAGCATTAGGATGTTCTTCCTAATGCCCTCCTCTAGCTAACACTGAAGACCTGATTCCCTAGTTATAAGATCCATAGATTTTTGCTGCAAGTCCTCACCAGTATTTAAAGTTTCATGAGGCACTCTTTGAACTCCCATTCACCTCAAACACTGCTGCATATTGCTCTAAATCTCTCTAAGTGCTGTCGTGTGTAGCCAGAATATCCAATCACACTCAGCGGTTTGAAATTTTTGTATTGGCTTGAGAGACCAACACATAAATGAAATAGAAGAATCTCTTAAGACAAATTAATATTTGCCCCTTATTACTACACTCAGTTGAAGATATCTAAAGATAGACTTGTAACTTCTAGAGAAGAATGTTTTCAGAACCTCCCTCAAAGAAGGGAAGGTGGCACTCAGCTGTAATTCTGTATCAGAAACTCAAACAGTGGAAATAGCTGAGAAGCTGCTGAAAGCCACAACAGCATCACTGAAAGTGGAACAGTGAACAGACTGTCAGAAGAAACACCTCTGCAAGAGGGCTGAAACATCTTCCAGAAGGAGCAACAGCCAGGAAAAGGGAACTCATACCTCTGAACAGAGACAATGTCTAGACATATAATTTCCAGAAACATAGAGTCACTGAGATGAAAGCAAAAATTAGCAGCCATTTAAAGACTTCAGATTTTGTTTAATACAGTAGGTGCCAAGGTTTCCATAAAATGAGAAGTCTTCAAACTAGATTTGCATAGTTTAAAATATGCCAGTTGAATTACATCATTGCTCACCATGCACTGCAAGGTATTAAGATGATCAGACCACAAGTGAACAAGGGCAGTAACTCTGCACCTTAGACACAACACTCTCAAATTTCTTGTCAGGACACTCACAGGAACATACCCACTGGCACACATCTCACACTTCCACACTGAGAGGAGCAAACCAGCCTTGGCCTCACCCTTTGGCTGCCCCAAAGGATTCCCTGCCTTGTGTGTGCACACCAAGAACTACCAGCTGAATACCAACAGCAGCACCTCAGCTGAGACCACAGCTGGTACTGATAAAGCAAGGTCTGTGCAGAGGTACAGGTACACACACCTTTGGAATTAATAAGCAGAAATGTCACAGCAAAAGGACAGACAGAATACAGCATCCAGTAGATGCCTATTTAAGTTCTAACATCAAATGGAAATGATAGCTTCTAACTGGGAAACCACAAAAAGAAGCTCTGAAAATGAGGAAGATGTGCACATCTGAAAGCCTTCTTTAAATGGTACGTATTGTAGTGATGGGAAACTGCTTTTTATCTCATGCATCTGTAAATCAGCCAGGGTTATCCTGAGTGCTATACAAATAATTTAGCAACTGAGTCACAAATCCAACTGGTTGTTGACAGGAACTCAAAGATAAGATACATACTTCTAGAAAAGTAAGTCCTAGAAACAAGTAAAATCAGAGTTCAGAAGTGGTTTTTGTTTTTTATTTCACACATTAAAGAGTGTATCTCATACTCCAGCTCATGGATGACAGGACAGCAGGAAGATACCACCTATTAACAGGGACCATTTGCTTTCCATCACAGAGACCTTGTGCTGAACAAACACAAACAATTACCACGATTTCACACTGCAGAGGAACAGCTGCTCAAGTTACAGCAAATGTTCTTTCAATTAAGACAATCTTAATGACAGTCCTTGGAAATGAATATAAGGATCTGAAAGCACTGACAAAAGAAAAAAAAAAAAAAGAAAAGAGATGATTCACCAAGAAGCTAACATTATGTCCTAAAGAATAACAAGTAACTTGGATAGGCATACACTGGAGTCATGCTACTACTATTAAAAAAATCACTTTTTGTTAGGAAAAGGAATCAATTAATTGCCTATGAAGTTTTGTGCAAAGTTGTGTATCCAAGACAATGCCAGCTATGGACATCAACAATGGAACTGGGCTAGGTTTCTTAAAACATTACATTAATTGAAATAGTTTAAAAGATGTTTGTGTGCATTAAGCAGCTATTTCTCAGGTTGACCACTGCAAAAAGTTCAGCAAAGGCAAAAAACCCATCCACAGCACAGCTGTTTCAGAGAACTGGCAGGAGCTGCTGCAGCAGGAGGCTCAAGCCACGTTTCATCATGTCATGTTCATGCCTGAGGTGTGAGGTAACCCTTGCTATTCCCTCAGCACTCATCCTGCTGGCCAGGAAGGGAGCAAGGAATAAAATGTGCCTTGATAATAGCACTAGAGATGTTACCAGTTAGATGACTTGGGACTGAGGGTGATACAGTGGCTTAGCAGAAAGAGGAGTGAAAGTGGCAAGAAGGAAGGTTCCTGACTGGTTATCTCCTACAGGCCTTGAGCTACTGGATGGCAAATACATGCCCACATCCCAGAAAAACTTTCTCTTCTCCCAGCCACAAGCTGTGGCAAAAGCTTTCTACCAATTAAAAAAAATATTGGGGGGGAAGTTAGGAATTCAAACAGGGAAGTGATTTAAATGACAGCCTTCACTTGGTGTCCTCAGATGAGCTTGCAATGCAGCAGAAGGAGACTCAACCATCTCTGACATACAAACAAGTTTCAAGAATTTTCCAGGACATTCTGCAACATGTTTAGCAATTTACTCTTAAATTATACCATCACTAAATGTACAACTACAGAGCCTGATCCAAACCCAAATGAAACTGATGGAAGGACCTCAACTGATGTGACCAGTTCTTATCAACCATTGGCACATGTATCTTGGCTGATTTTTAACAAAGAATATGAAATATTACCATTTCTTAAAAAGAAGAGTTTTCAGATAAATTTACACAGGAAATGCTGTATCAAGGGCAAGCACGTGGTACAGCATCTCCTTCCAAACTCCTCTGCCAGAATCTCTTGAACTCTGCATTTTGTAACAGTTCTCTTTTGAGACACACTCAGCCAAAACTCACACAAATTTTCTAGAAATAAACAGGAGAGTAAATACAAGGGAATATATTCTCTTGGAAGCAGCACACAATTTAGAGCAAAACCTGTGGAGATCTAGGGCACTTTGTCAGTGCCCATTATAACTGTATTGCAAACATCAAAGTGAAAGGATAATGCCTCATGTGGATGCAGGCTTTGTTGACTTCAGTGCTTCAGTATCCCCATGACCAATTTGAACAATTCAAGTTAGTTCCTGCCAAAATCTAAAGTCCATTAAAGTAGAATGAAACCTCCCTATAATCTAACTCTTGCTACTGGCTATGGTCAGAAAAGTCATGGAAGAAGTAATCTTTAATTTTTCCATGAGAAATGTGACTCCCTTAAGGTAAGACAGTAAATTTTACTGTAATTCACTTATAGG